AGAAACCATAAGACGGATGGAGAGCTCGAAGAAATAATGCACAATATACTCTTTAATTTGTATGTGTCACTAAGATTGCATATTATAATAGAAACTACAAGTACACATCCTAATACAAGTCCTGCACATTTTAGAGTTGACCGTTATCAAAGTTCATTTGTCAAAAATAACGAAAACGAGGATACACATTCTCACAACTATGTTGCGTCTGTGATCAAGCCGTTTTTTCCAGAAGGCAAAAAAACGACCATAGACTGGTACATATCCAAAATGAAGTCTGTATAAACATATTTGTTTATTTTTAATTATATTTTATATGGGCTTAGGGCAAACAAGACATCAAAATCATCTGCTCAGACAATGAAACAATTCGATCCTATCCTTTCTGGCTCAAAACCCGACTTTACAATAAGAACCATCAATCCTAAAAAATTTGTTGAATTAATGTTTGCCGAAATAAAACCACCGAATACAAGAGCGGATTTAGTAAATGAGGATCTAGTGACTTTGGGAAAAACAATGCGAGCATCATTTGATAAGTCGTTAGAAGATGGTGTTGATCTTGTTATCTGTGAATTGCATGTCTTTGGTTGGTATAGTAAGACCAATTCCTTTCATAGAAATGCAACCTTTACGAATTTTGCCTTCACAATTTTAGGTTACCTTGGAAGATGCTATATTAAATTTTTAATTGAAATCTATTTAAGTTTGAAAGTCTTTTCTATTATTCAGTTGCATAAAAAAATATTTATAACAATATACTTTTATTATCTTGTTTTCTTACAATCTATACTTTTTTAATATTATAAAAACTATTCTTATTACTATTATTATACTGTACTTATTAAATTTACAAATACTTTTCAAAAAACATACTCAAACAAAGTTATTGAATTTAATATTTGTTTTAATAAAACTTTTATCCATATTTTATTTTAACAACACTTACTATATTATTTAAAAAAATCAAATAATTTTTTTTAATCACAAAATTTAAAATCAGCTTAATTCTTTTAATTGATCAATGCTTGGCAACTACCCAATTAAGATTTGTTAATAGTCAAATATAATTTATAAAGATAATATATTATTCTTTTATTAGATAAGATTAAGATTTCAGGTTTTTTAATAAAATCAAAATCTGTAAATTATTTTTATAGTTATATATTATAAATTTAAATTAAATTATTCTTTTTTTATAAAAATTATAAAATAAAATAAAAGGAAAGGAGAGGAAAAAAACAATATAAGTATATATATAAAAAAAAGATAATAAAACTATTATTTATTTTAATTATTGTTGAAAAAATTATTTTGAAAACAAAATTCAATCTTCTTATAATTGCTAATTTGTTTATTTTATTATTTGTGATCCACTAATAATAAAAAAAAAAATTTCCGTTGATGATGAATTTCGCTAAGAATAAACGTTTCGAACGTAATGCTAAATCGGGTTAATATCGTCAATTTAGCAAATCCGAGATACATATACAATTTTTTCCTCTTATACAGTATCTCTATAATTAGGATGCAATATGGGTGCAATATAGGTGCGATGAAGGTGCGATGTAGTCACGATGAGCTTTTTTTCATATATAATTGTATGAGAAAGAACCACGATGTGACTACCTCTGACAAGTTGAGTAGCATTATAATTTTCTGTGGACATGTGGCATCTCATGTTAGATGCTGTCCACGTGATTGTGGAATTCCGAGATCGAGCGCATTTATTATGAAGTATTGTAAAGCATGACTGATGGAGTCAGATCTGTGCGACATTCGATTTCCCAAAATTTTTTTCTATCCGTGGCGTGTTACTCTTTTTAACCATGTCTAACGTCTATGAAACAATCAAGATATTTGATTCAAAAGAGGAAAGAACTACACTACGAACCCTCTTCACTAATAATCCAGAAAAAAGAGCTGAAGCGGAACGCATCCTTCCTACATGTGAAGATAATGAAGAGGTGGTTTCTTATTTCAAAGATCTCCTAAAACCTGGTATGTTCTCTTTTAACCGTGCCATATTCACCAATAACACCGAATACTAACCTAATCTTATCGTCAAAAACACATTCGCGTTATCGTAGAACAACCCGTTGCTGGTAAGTGAGTCGTAATAAAATAGTCAACGCGAGTGAATGTGTTATGGCTTAACTTTTTGATTGTTATATTTCTGTCTTTCAAAATTTAACCAATATTTTATTTCACTTTAA